GGTATGGTAATAGTGGTGGTATAGACGATATTTCTTTGTGGTATTGTACTTTTACCAGGTTTTTTTGTTCTTTTGACATGCTAGTTCCAGTCAACCACAGTAATGAACTAAATTTTTATCTTAAATTTTAAATGTTTAGTTCTTTGGTTTTATTGGCGATAAACGAAGACATCAGGCCATTGTCATTTGTCTCATCGCCATGATGACGGTACAGGGATACCAAAACCTAAGAGTGCAATTCGTAAGTAAAATGACGATGGAATGTCAAATTAGTATGTAAAATACTTCCCTGCTAGCAGAGCCTATTTTCCTTTTGTTTTGGTTGAGAGAGAAAAATAGACTCTGCCGATGTAGGACGTTATTTCTGTCGCGCATGCGTGGCGGAACTTAGCAACGCTGTCATGATTTTGCCAGCCGCTCTCGTCAAACAGTGTTTGGCGCCAAGGTGTGTTACATTTGCTCATGCGCACTACATGTAATCAGTTAAAAACCGGTTTCAAAACTGGTTTTGTTCATCCACAATCCTGGACGGTGGTGTATCAAAGGAAACTCTCTACATCGGCAGAGTCTCCTTCCTCCCCGCCTGAAAGAAGGATGAGAAAGAGAAGACAGACTCTGCTAGCAGGGAAGTAAAATACTGAAGTCAGCGTTGATTCGAATCTGCAAGATTTTCATAGGTTGCTTGTATTGTGGGGTTGGAAGTGCGATCTCTTTCTTCAAGGCCCCTTTCCATCCCTTTTCTCCTTACCTTGGGCAAAAAATATTGAAATCTTGTCATAAAAGTTTTATGGAACCTAGTTATTGACAGCGCTTTTTATGTCTCCAGAATACATCAGGGGAGTACAATAATCCCGATCTCGAAGACTTAGTTGAGTTTATCACTACAAGAACATCAAGGGGTGCGTATGGAACTAATCATTAATCATTCCGAGGTTTAGCAAAAACCTGGGTCGAGTTGGCGATTGCAGTGAACTGTGGGACTGTTTTTTAATCTTTTGCACTGATATTGGCTTCAGTCAATTTACGATAACCTCTCTTGCAAACCGAATTTAACTCGTCAAGACGATCGTCTTAACGAGAGTTAAATTCGGTCTTCACGCAGGCTAATTTACAATTGTAAAATCAAACTTTCTAAATTTCAATTCGATTGAGCATTTTCCAGACTGAGTTTTCCTGAGGGAAGGGTCAGCGGAATAGGTCATTTTTCCTCATTCCACATCCGGAGATCCCTCGTGCCGGCAATCTGGATCTTCCCATTTTATTCAGTCTACAATCTAATCTTCTCGTGATGACTTATCCTTGCCAAATTTCTTTTTTTATATTTTATTTCTAGACTCGGTATTTGCTGGTGCAATGCCTACTATGGCTACAGTTAAACTGTGCACGAAACGAGCCATAGTGAATCATCCTCATTACGAAGATGTGGGAATAAGGTGAGACCATGTGTTTCCAAAATGTTGTGCGGCCGCATTTTATTTCTTGCTGTGTCTCGACTATCATGTTTGAGCTTTGACTTTGTGCGAAGTTTTACTAGACAATTTGAGGACAACATCGACGCGCAACACATATTGCAGTTCTAAATCTCCAATGCTGCTACAAAGACGTATCATTTCAAAATTATACTCACCCTACCCCAACGAATTGTACGATTTCCTGAGTATTTTCGCATTTGTCAGTGTCGCTTTAAAAAAAATTATGAGCAGTTTTAGGGGTATATCTTTAGAAATTTGAAAAAGTCGCATGGGATTGCACTGGATTCCAGAAACTTTCGCTCCAGTTTCTCTCGGTCGTAGGTTACGGCTCGCACCGGGGCGAGAGAATCCACTGGCATCTATAACTAGTCATGAGTACGAAATTATTAAAAATTAAGTATAATCCCAGTCACTGAATCCATTTTCACATTAATGTTTTCAGAGAAAGAACACACAAGGTTTATCAGATCTTTAGTCGCAAGCCTCCAAAAGTCGTATGGAATACTCTGAACTCAATGGGTGTTACTCACGTGATCGTAGACTCACAATGGTGTTTAGGGAGACCAAAGTAAGTGAAATATGCACTCCATGAAATGATAAACATTCTTGTAGCAGACGTAGAATCCTCTCAAGAATCCCGCGCCGACCCCACCCATTTTCGCCCCCCCCCCTCCCCACCCCTCTAGATTTATAATAATATAAGTTTCTAAGTTTCTCGGGCCCGCTTGCTCATTAAGTTCACTAAAAAGATATAACTAGCTAAAAACTAGTGTGAGCTGCGTCGGTGTTTCTAATGAAACAGTAATGATGAAAAGGTAAATTAAAATTTACCTTTTCATCATTAAAACTAAAAATGAGATTCAAAACTTAACCTCATTCTACAAACAGAATTTTCAAAAGCAGCTTCTAAATAAAAAAAATACTGAAAACCTTTGTTACTGGAAGCCATGCAAAATGATAGCTTTGAAAAACAGCAATTTTCGAAGATTACAAACGGGCGGAAACGTCGTCATGTATAAACGGCGTTAGATGTAATCACATATTTCTGTGCCATACATGAAGTATCATGCTGCTAAATGACGCAAAATTCGAAAATATCGAACTTGGACTATTTCTGGTTTACCAATATTCTCGAGAGAATAAAATAGACCTTTGTACCTTGTGCGTAATGTTTCTCCATTTTAGACCACGTGCCATCCCTTGAGAATAAGATTCTTTGTTTAGTGGTTTCACATGAGAAGATAGTATCTGCTGACCCGAATATGGACAATACTCAGACAGAAAATCTTCAGTATTCCCATATAAAATGACACGTGGTCTGACTATGCGAAAACAATAAGCCCAAGGTAAAGACGTTTTTTACAAACTTTGGCGGCCATACTGATTGATATGAGACAAGAGAGACTAACGACATATCCATCAAATTCAACCAGTCCCTTTCACAGTTCCCTGCGCCACCTTTGAAGGTAGCCGTGCCTTTCCATCGAAGCGAGACGAACGGTGAGCTTGTAATGATAGAGACCTTTATTTAACACCTTGGACAATTATTCACAGATCCCTATCATTGCAAGCTCACCGTTCGTCTCGCTGCGATTCAAAGGCATAGCTACCTTTCAAGATGCCGCAGGGAACCGTGAAGGGGTCTATTACTGTTTATATATGCATTTATTCCAAGTGTTTTTGTTTATCAGGCCTGGTTGTGGTATGGTGGACATGTGGGACCGTGAGGACCAAAAAAACAGAAACAGGCCAGCTTGTTGTATGTTAATCGAGGAAAATCCTGCACCTTTTAAGAAAGTCTTTAAAAACAAGAAGTATTCAATATTTCAGTTGCATAGTAAATAACTATTTAAACTGCTAAAGTAAATAATTCCATACAAATCATTAGATAAACGTGAATAACACTATAAAATATAAATAAAAATATATATAAAATATACGTTGTTAGGCATCAGTATACTGTCACAATCAGATGTAAAGCTATTTTTTGTGAAGCACTTGTAGCAGCTAGTTTTACGGCTTTTTTTACTCCGACGAATATTAAACATCCAACACTTCAGTAGTTACAAACTTTTTATACGATTTTTAAAGTCAGTCTCCTTTTTATTTACTTGTTGAATTCAACACATCAAAGCAGTCCCAACTAGTAGCCGTCTAGTCAATGCATTTGACGAATAAATAAGTTAAGTCACAGACAGACGAAAGAGAGAGGGTATATATTAATGAAAATGTAGGCTAGCGATGCAGACATGTTTGTCCGTGACCGTCTCGCTGTCACGTATGAGTATTTTCATTGGCTAAATAGTTAGTGACCTTACACGATGTTGTTGGTTCAAAGGTTGGCGTCAATCCGGCTACGCCTTGTACAACATTTTCGTTTCTTTTGGGGTTTATAGCTACCTCCTATAAGTGTATCCAGAACTGGATAGCAGCATTGACCATTCCTTCAGGATCGCGGTAAAAAAGCTAAACTATCCTCAACGACTTCATATTTCTTCGACTTCGAGATTCAAATCGAAAGTGCAACAGCCATTAAAGAGATCACCTCTCCTTCTCATAGTCTTTAGGTTGACATTGATCCAGAGGACAATAAACGAGCTTTAGTTCGACTTGGGGAACATCGATTCGACACTGACGTACAGGTTCGTGTGTTGAGCACCGATCCTTTCAGACCGTCTACTTTGGTGGAGAATGGCGAGATGGAGAAAGCACAGGATGGGAATGCTTTCATTTCAAAATCCAGTAGTCATACTAAATTTATTCTCTGAATTCGACAACTTAGGAAATCTGAATCGAGAAGACTTTATTTTTTCCGTAGACCGAAGCGCAAGAATGATGGTTGATTCAAGGATAGATAGTGCGAAAGAAACAATTCTTTTGTTTCTGGAGAGCTTGCCTTGTGGCTGTTACTTCAACGTGATTGATCTAGTTCTTTTCAATAGTTGTTTCTTAAAAGTGAGCTTTACAATTATGTCACTTTTGATAAGGCTTGTTTTCATGCCCAGTCTATAAAGGCAGATCTAGACGAACTGAGATCCTCGGCCCTTTACAAGATGTCTATTCTCAGCCACTCTCTATTCGAAGGGTATCCTCGTGGGATTCTCAGGAAGTCGTCAATTTAGTGGCAAAAAATGCTGACAAAGCAAGGTAAGGTTTCAGCTCAAAACTATTATAAGAATTAAACGTAATTTTTGGGATGCATATATATGTCATTGGCTATTTGGTCAACCACCATCGGTTCCCTGCTGTAATCGCCCATGACGGAGACTCTGCTAGCAGGGAACCACCATCAGTAGTTCCTTTTATTCTTCTTTCATTCTCATTATAATTTAATGGGCGCGGCTTGCGCTAACCCAAATTCTTCTAACTGTACTCGAATGTTTTTATTCGATGTTTCTAGGTGTTTCATGCAGTCTTGGAATTAGTAGTGGTGTATCAACTGCTCTGATAAGAGGAAGCTGGTTTGATAACATAATCACCAAATGCAATCCAAAGTTTGTATAAGCGTTTGGAGAAGCTTGAGAAATGACAAAGATATGACGAAATCATGGAAATGGCTGCAAATGTTTTAAAACATTGAATACTGATAAACAGAGAGGCATAACTTTATAGAGTAGTTATTTATTTATCCATCAAATTCATATTAATAATCCATATACAAAAGTTCCTCAGCTTGGTTAACAGTACTTCTGAATATCACGTGAGGAATCGTCATCGCGACGTATAGGATCGATAGACGTCAATCAAGGCCTTTCCATGACATTTCATATGTACGTGCTCTTCCGATAAGGTTATGGAAAATTCTTACATTGTTTATCAAATTGTTCGATTTCGCGCTTTAAGTTGAGAAGCATTGTAAGACAATTATAGTGTGTTTAAATTTCACCAGTGGAATAAAATGTAATAGTCAATGTCAAGTCTATCTTCAGTCAGGGCTAAAAATTTCGAATTATTCATCGTCAATACAAATAAATCGCTTGACAGCTAAATTTTTCTAAAGTTGGTTTTCATTTGGCGAAATTCTTAATGTTTTCTCACAGGAGTACGAATGATATAAAATGAAAAATTAGCGACTAAAATCAAATTTGGAACACTTTTGGCTGGGAAAAGTGAATATCAAGCACTGAGCTACTGCAGGGACTATTCTTTTTTCAGGGACTATTCTTTCACTTGTATATGATGCGAATAGGTTTCGCGATTATTCGTCTGAAAACCTTTTGTGTTTGGGCTGACTTTCCTCTGCCTCCTCTTTCTGCAAGATAATAATTTCAATAAAACCTTTTAGCTTCGTAATGTTTTCCCATTACAGACCATGTGTCATTCCCTTGAGTATAATTTCTTTACTTGACGCTAAGACATAAGACATATAGATACGACTGAAACCATGGATGATAAAATCCACGCTGAAACAAAGAATGTCATTTTCAAGAGAAAGACAGGTGGTCTGAAATGGGAAAACATTGCGCCCATTATAAAGAGGCCTATAATAACAATCTTGCCTGGAAAATGGACATATTACATACGTAAAACGAATAATGTACTTACATATCCAGGGAAATCGTAAGCTATGCCAAGCTTCTCAAGCTTCTTTCTTTTTCGGCTTTCTTTCTTGAGGATATTTTTGACATTCGCTGCATGTTCTTTCTGATTTCGTTCCTGGAAATCATAAACAAATGTTGACATTTGACTCATGACATACGTGCGTAAGAACTATTGGCAGAGCAAAAACAACAATTCTCATTTTTTTCAATTTTCAAAAAATAAATATATTCCGCAACGATGATAACCTTTCTCAGTTTTTCGATTCCGCGAACACTACATCATGTGCGCGCTAAAAAGAGATGACACGTAAACACCGTTTGACAAGCGCGCGCAAATGAAACAATGGATGCCGATGACATCAAGACTAGTTGCTAAGCAAAACACCAATAAACAAAGCGATTCCTAAACCTTTTCTGAAAAAGGCAAAAAATAGGATGGACGTCGAAAGTAACATTACTGATAAGACCAAAACACTTTTCGTGAGCAAAGATGTGAACAAAACCCACACGAGAGCTGCTGTTTTGTGGGACCTTAAAGGTTCGCATGTTTTCCTTCTAAAAAGAAAGTGTTTAGTCAGAAAAGATGACATTCAAATGAATGATGACAGTATCTCCTGTAATAGTGAAGAAGAGAGTAAAGAAAAGCAAAATAATGCTCACGCAAATAGCCTGTGGGGAAAACTTAAAAGCTTCGAATTAGTCGAAGGAATTGAAGGAATTCAAGGTCTTGAAAAAGATGGGATGAATAAGACCTGTTACCTCGGTCGCCTAACACGAGGAAGTCCAGAATACCGCGACCAGGGAAATAAGAAGAACATACATACTTTGGATGATTCTACCGCATTGATCGACCAGTATTTTGAAACGGGAACTCTTCATATCAGTACAAGTAACGTGTTTGGAGTATTAAGATTGGCGTTTGAACTTAAACTGATGGATGTTTACAATGCATGTCTTTTGTTTCTGTCCCACTCATTAACGGTTGGAAACTGCATCGAAATCTGGCGAATATCCAAGAAATTTCAATCCTACAGTTTAACTGAGCAAGTTATGAGTTTTATGGAGCAACACCTCACGGCTTCTTTATTAAGAAAAGACAATGTCAGTGTTGCAACGTCTTTGATCCACAGTGCCAACGACTTTCATAGCCTAGAGTTTCTGTTGCAGATTTTTTCGTCTCATACATACGAGAACACTGCAAAGGCTAAAGGAACGATTATGAAGTTATTTTCTGAGTTAATGAAACAGGAATCAATGATTTGGAGATTTTGCTTTAAACAGTATCTACAACAGCTTGAAGACGGAAAACTGGGGCAAGAAGATGATTCCCAGTCATCAAAGAAACTCAAAAAAGATTCCTTACACAAACGGATAAAAGAAGGGAATGCAGTGAATGAACTAGTTATGTCAAGTGAAAGATTTGGAAATAAAGACCTTGACAACGCTAGAGATGTTATGACACTTAAAATTCAGAAGGGAAAACCGATGCCAATGACACGTGATGTGAACATAAGTCATGAGCAAAGGAAAGGAATTCTAGTTGCTGGAGGTTTTAGTGACAAAACCCATGAAGCACTAGATATGGTGTTTTTGTATGAACCAGAAGCAGATACTTGGACAGCCCTGCCATGCTTGACTTATGCTCGATTTAATCACACAATGGTTACCTTGAATGGTAAAATATTTGTCATGGGAGGGAAAAGAAAGAGCAAAGAGAGAACCTGTGCTAGTTACATGATAGAAGGAAGTAAGATAAATCATAGAAGACACTTTGAGCAAGAACATTGTTCACACAACACAATGAACTTTGACACCCAGCAACTTGGGGCTGGAAGACAAAAAATCCCAAATAGTAACTGCCATATCAGCATAAGCCCAAACAACTCATTAACATCATATCAGCTGAAAGAAAGCTGTGAAAATAGCTGGCTAGACCACAACCAAATGAGTTCAGTGGAAGTGTTTTCTACTGAATCAAACAAATGGTGTGAAGCATCTTCAATGATTTTGAAACGTAAGGAACACTCTTCAGTAGTAGTAGGGGATTTTGTTTATGTCCTTGGTGGTCATGATAGTGTCACACAGCTATGCTCTATGGAAAAATATGATCCAGTAAAAGATGAATGGACACTTGAGAAACCTATGTCACGACTTTGTACTGGAATGAATGTAGTGACAGACAGACGGTTTCTCTATGTATTGGGTGGATATAGTGGGGATGAATGGCTGAATGAACTATCATGCTATGATACAATAAACAAAACCTGGATTGACAATAACCATCCAGCAATGAAAACAGGCCGTGCGTTTGCAGGAGCAGAACTTGTGGCAGACGAAATGTTCATCTTTGGAGGAGTTAATAGTCAAGGATTTCTAGACGAGTGTGAGGTTTTTAACTTAACAAGTCAAACCTGGAGGCAAGGCCCTCGGATGAACCAGTCAAGGTGTAATGCAGGTCACTGTGTTTTTAAAACAAAGATTTTTGTATTTGGTGGAGAGGCATATGGCATGTTTCTAGACACAGTGGAATATCTAGATATTGAAAACTGGGAATGGAAAATGGTGAAGAGAATGCCAAAAAGAACAGCTGGTTTGAGATGTGCACAAACCAATGTTTATTCACGACTGTAGTAATTCTTAGAATACTTTACTAACAAATGAAAAAAATTCAACTTAAAAATTTAAATACTGAACACTCATTCTCAGTTAACAGTTGTACTCAATAACACCTGGAATCATCATTGTGATGAAGGGTGTTTTGGACATTATCAATATTGAAGTGTTCAAGGGAGGATCCAGCCAAAAATTTAGGGGGGTTATTTGAGTTTAGGGGGTAATTGAGTTTCTTCCGTCAACACAATGGAAAACAATATAAAAAAGCATCGTTTTTTTTTCTGCTGAAGGGGGGGCTTCAGCCCCCCTTTGCCCCCCCTGGAGTTGCCCTTGGTGTTTCTATCACATACCAGGGCTTAAAATAAACAGCAGTCATGGAACAATGTCCCAATGAAATTGAAACTTCTCCAGTCAAATCTTTGCCTTGTCGGCCATTTCAACCAGTAACCTGGAGCCAGAATGAGTTATGACCAAGCTTAAACTACTGTATTAAACTTGGCCGCAGTGACTGACATGTGAGGAACAATGTTCTTGAAATGTTTGTGCTTTTCAACACATGGGGACCCTGTACTGTAGAAACACTTTGATTGACATTCACCAAAACCCTGTTTGGTGACTCAGGCAAACTGTATATTGGAAAATGACTGCAAGAGCCCAATATCTATTATTACTAACTCCATTATGAGGAAAGATGAATGTTGATAAAATATTCTTAAAGACACCTAAAATACTTAAAACTAGAAGTTTTTTGCAGGTACCCTAAAATGACAGCAATATCTAAGATATTTGTGGAGTTCATGAACATGTTTGGTAACCTAAGTTATACAGTACCCAACATTCAATGACAAATAACTCATTTTATTCAAACTACTGTTACTAAGAACCAATGAAAAAAAACAATTATTGAACTTTGCTTTTCTCATTTTAGTTATTCGTCTCTTGGCATTAGCAAAAAATATTGCTTACCACTAACAGATCTTTGCCTGTGGCGTTGTCCTATATAATCATTTACTATCTATAACATGTGCAAGCAAAAAGGAAACTGAAATTAAACAAAACACATGTCATACCTTATTCTGTTTCTTTATTGCAATTTCATTCCTCGAAACGTGACGAAATTTTCGATTTGATCCTTCCCACAGCCTTGGATGAATTTTGTCTGGGGATATTACTTTACCTATGATATTTAGAAATAATTACTATTAAGAACTAATACTAATTGACGTAATGACTATTGTCATGGCTATCATCTCCCTCTGGCATCATCATCACCATCATCATTATCACCACTGTCACGGTCATTATCTTCATCTACTTTTCTCTTCCACTTAGACATCATTGCATTACCAACTTACATTTTAAAAGTCTTCCAAACATCATATAGTTATCCATTGTTTCTGCTGCAATTTTGGCAACTTCATCACAGTCAAACTCTATAAATGCATAACCTTTTGATCTTGCAGACTGTAAAACAAAATTAAGAATCATTCATAAACATTCTACCATGTGGGCTTTAATCATCAAATATCAATCAATTAATCACTTTATTAATGTGTCGTTCTACTAGCTTGCCACAAGTGAGCATACTAATCGGGGACACCTATGTATTTTCAAGTGATTTTTATGGAATCTATTTAATCCTGGGTTAAAAAAAGAGTGCATAAACGAATCGATATTCATTATTATATCCATTGTATATAATGAATATAACTTGATGCATATAACTTGATGTTGACTTCATCAAGTTTCGTATTTCAAGTTTTCTACTTTATACATATTTTTAATGCATATATTACGATCTTCTTCGTACTAACCTTTTTACTTCTAGATAGCCTTACTCTGTTAACTGTTCCAAACTGTTCGAAGAAATTCCTGATTTCATTTTCGTAAAACCCATGAGGAATATGACCAAGGTATACAACACCAGGTACAAGTTCTCCATCACTATCCTATACAGAACATCAAAAAGATCACTCATAAACTACAATCACAGAGGAATAAACGGGAGAAAGAATCAGCCATAGCTACCTTTGGTTTGATCTTTTTTACTTTTTCTTCAAATTCTTTTTGTTTTTCACTACTAAGAGCTAAAGTTTCCTCTGAACTTTTCTTGTTTTTTTCAGCTGTTTTGTCCGCCATGTTGAATATTGGAACCACGTGTTGTTCCAATGCGCAACACAGGAAGCCCATACTTCACTTTTGGTGAATATTGGAAACTGAACTCATCAAAAGTACATTTTAGAAAGTTTTTCCTTTCTGAAACATGATTAACTTTGAATTAATATTTATGATATGTTACAGAAAATTTATTTTGTTTTTTTCTGTAATTTTCACACTCGTTAAAATTAAGCTCGGGTTCCCTGTGTGCGCATGAGCAGATGGCTGCTCACTATAGCTTATCACCATAGCAACAACTCCACAGACCAGAAAGAAAAACAAAATGGCGAAGTTTGTTATTGCAGGTTCTGCTGACTGTCCTTTTTACGCTAAAGCAGAGCTTCTAGCTGATGAACTGTCCTTGAAATTATCAGACTTCAAAGTCCACAAGATAGTTAAACGGCCTGAAGAGTGGGAAGATTGGTTGAGAAGTACTTGTGACGAAAAAGGCTGGAGTCATAAAGGTTCTCCATTAATATGGAGAGAACTTGTGGACAGAGGTGGCGCTGGTTTGCTCCTTGGAGGATGTAATGAATTCCTCGAAATGGCTCAAGGATACTACGGTATTACATCGAATAAAATGAGTTTGAAGCTTATAAACATATCCAAGGAGAATTTTAAAACTAAACAAGAAATAGATGCCGAAGAAGAAGAGAGAAAGAAACAAATCAATCCACTAAGAGTTTGTGTTTCTGGCGCTTCGAGTGATATAGCATATCACATGTTAGGGTATCTGGCTCAAGGTGAAGTGTTTGGTCTAGGACAAGAGGTGGCAATCACGCTATTAGATCATCCCGACAAGTTGGAGATCTTGAAAGGTGTTGCATATGAAGTGCAAGACTGTGCTTGGCCTCTGCTAAGAGGGGTAGAGTACACTTCTGAGCCAGAAGTGGCTTTTAAAGATGTCAGTGTTGCGGTATTACTGGATGGAGCAACAATTCCCAAGGCATCTGATCATCAGGAATACCTATTAGCTAATGCTAAGGCCTTCAAACAGCTTGGTGAAGTATTAGAAAAGCAAGCATCGAAGGATGTAAAGGTGCTGGTTGGTGGTGGTCCAGCTAACTCGAATACTTTTATTGCAAGTAAATTCGCTCCCTCAATCCCCAAGAGCAATTTCTGTGCTCTTTCGCGTATTGAAGAAAACAAGGCAAAGGGGCTACTGGCAAAGAAGATGAACGTCAGAACAGCAGGAATAAAAGATGTGATAATCTGGGGAAATCCTGGCGTCAACTACTTTCCAGATGCTAGTGTTGCAAGGGTTGATGGGTATGATGGAGCAATCTGGGGACCACATATCCCAGGATTCATGAGATCTGTCCCAGAAATGGTCCATGACAACAAGTGGCTGACTGGTGAATTGGTTGAAAATACCAAAATATCCAATGATAGTGTGAAAGGGGCAATGTTGGGTGGTGCGGCAATAAATACTCAACTTCAAGACTGGTTACATGGCTCGCAATCAGAAATATTTTCTCTTGGTGTGATATCAGAGGGTTGGTATGATGTCCCAGAAGGAATTGTTTTTTCTTTTCCTGTAAAATTTGACCAAGGAGCTTGGAAGGTTGTGGAAGGGTTATCTGTTAGTGAGCCTTTGAAGACTAACATTTTGAAAATTGCAAAAGACATTCAGGAGGAAACAACAAAGATTGCTTCACAACTTACGTGATTGTACAAATATGACATCAGCATCATCTCAAGCCTAATATTCCATGAAGTAGATTGTCGTCATAAAAGCTGATAAAATAGTCAAGTCAAACATAAGCTAATTAAGTGTTTATTATTAAAACAAAACAAAATACATACTGTGGTTTGTATGTAGCATTACTCTAGGTTATTCTATAGTCTGTTCTATTACCAAACTACTTTTGAATATATCATTCTTTTAAAATACAACACTCTACTTAAACCCAATATATTTAGTAAATCTTAAACACCTTGGTGATTATATAACTTAATCGAATGAAATTATCTAAATGTTCTATTTTTAAACATTTTTAACAGTACTCAAGTACTTAAAAGCACACTTTTTAATTGACTGACTTGGAATGAGTGATGTTTAAGAGTTTTGATTAATTTTTTAAAAATACTAAAATATAAACAATTAACTGCTGCAAATTATAATTTGTGAATTCTTGTCATGGAATCATTTTAGAAAGAGATAATCCTTCAAAAATGCTTGTGCTGTACAACAACTGTTCTAAGTAAAGGAGTCTTCTGTTTATTTAGTTCATGCTGTTAATAGTCCCTTTCACAGTTCCCAGCTACTAGTCTTTTTTGAAGAATGTCGCATTAAAATGTTGTTGCTTACATTATCGTATTATGCTAGATATGCAAAGACGTAAATTAGACAGAGAAATAAATGTACAAAGCAAGCCCAATGCAAAGGATTATGGCAACATTGACCTGAAGAAAAATCTTGGCTCTTGGATCTTGCTCCAGGGATGTTACAATGCTTATTCTTTGTTCTTGCTCTATTGCTGCTTTTACTGCTTCTTCACTTCCAGTTTCATAGCCACAGAACCAGTTGTAGAACCTCCGAATGGGAGAACGTTTGGCATCTGAAGAATGCAGAAATATGAGTCAGTGACTGACTAAATGAGAGGGAGAGAGTGAACAAGAGAATGAGAAAGTGAGGTGATCAAGTGAACAATAAAACAACAGATATACAGTGGCGCTTCACTTCTGCTGTCAAGGGTCAATTCCCAGTGGCCTCAAAGTGTCCTTTTGATTTCCCTCTGTTCTTTCAAACTGGTTAGTGCTATGCTCCAGGATTATGGACTGTATAGCTGCTGCCAGGAGCACCTTCACATTGCTTTCAGTTTGACCCTGTTAAGCTGTAACACTGCTGAAGGCCACAAGTTTATGAGTGTTTTTTTTACTTTTACATGCCAACTTCTTTATATAAATGCTTTAATTTGCGGTGATGATTGGAATTAAACAGCTTTTTTATTTGTACATAAATAAAATAGTTCTAACCTATGATAACAATGTCGCTCTTGCGTTCATCACTACCCAAAGCTTTTTCTTGATCAATGAGCGAATCCTCCTTCTCCCCTTTTTCTTCTTTGTTTTCTTTTTCAGCATCATTATTTTCATCACGATAAGTCATTTTGGTCAGTTTTACTGACTTGTTTATGTCATCAAGTAGAACTTCCTTGCCCTTGCCTGTCTCTCCAGAGTATTTACTTTCAGCTGGGCTGTCATAACGAGTCCACCATGTTAGTCGTGAAGTCTGAGAGTTTATGAAAACAAATAATTAATCATTGAGAACATTTAATGTTTACTTTATTTTTGCAGTTGGACCCAGAAATACATCACAATTCAAAAGCTGTGTACTGTGAAAATAATGCACTTCACACAGGGAATCGTTGAGCACAATCAGAGCTGAAGCCCAAAAACATGATGGATAGCAAAGTGCTTCTCTTGCTTGTTAAGTGCTCAAAAGTCTGTGACCAGTTTGTTTATATCGCGAGCACAATGTATAGAGATGCAACTGGCCATTTGATTATTAATTTTGTCATAAAAAATTTTGACAAATTTGTGCCTTTGGTATAAACATACTTTGGCAGCGAGTGTTACGAGGAAAGGCAATTGGAAGCAAGAAAGAAAGAAAAGGAAAGAGAGAGCACAAGAAAAAGAGGTTACTTCATTATAACAGAATGGGAAAAAAATACTGTAATAGAATTACTACTCACATTGGCTCCCTCAGATGGTTTAGTAAACAGACTGATCACCACTATTGCAATACCAGTTATCCAGAACAAAACCAGAGCAAAGTACATGTAGTGAAGGTCCTTTGTGATGGCTGGGCGTTGATCTGACTCTCCACACTTTGGAGCTTGGTAAGTAAAGTCTAAAACCATTCTGATGACACCAATCACAAATCCCATCATCATTCCCCAAAATGCACCCTGAAGCAAAAAAATTGCAGAGTTTATTGTCTGAGCTCAAGGCTTTTAATAGATCTTTCAAATTAGAGTATACATTTTTTGCTTGACAGTTACTGACATGAGAAGGCACATGAATATGAATAAAGCTCAAGCATAGAATCTATTCTCAAGAGAATGGCACAAATGAAAATGGGAAAAAAACTTTTTCCAATTATAGACCATTAATTGCAGCACTTCGGAATACAGCTCAATTTTGAGGGCAAAACAATAGGTCTCCAATTCTCACTTGAACTTGAACTTCTTTTGATTTGCCCTCCAAATTTACCTGCTTTGACAACACGTCCATGGGGTCTATATATATAGAGGGTGTACCAGAGTAGGGGCAAATCCACAATTTTGGCTTGGCTACCTTTTTTGACAGACATATACCATGCCATGCTACAAAATCCATTTATTGTATATCTGTATGGGGTTCAATATTGCCTTTAACTTTTAGGGGCTTCAATATACATAATAGAGATGGCCTAGAAAAGGGGTTCATAAATATTTCTCATTTAGTGTGTTTGTTTGTAGTTTAGGGGGTTAGACTGTAT